CGTCAAAGAGTGCAGAAATAACAACAACTACGTTATAGAGACTCCAGATAGGCGGCAGAAGACCCAGCTGTGCCACGTCAACCTCCTGAAGCAATATAATGGTACTCCTCCCACTGTCCTAATTAATTATTCCACCTTCACAGAACCCTACATCCACAGTGAGACCTTCCCAGCTTCTCCTCCCGAAAGCACTGACAAGGAGTCAGCGCTTTCTAATTCCGAAATCCTTAATGATCTTCCCAAATACTTTCAGGATAATCCTAGTGCACCTCTTGTCAAGATCTTCAGAGAACATCAGGAGTTGTTCAGAGATGACCCCCAAGAGTGTAATGTTACCCAGCACGACATCCAACTGCTCCCCGACACCCGGCCGATTCGTCAACCCTTCTACCGAATCAGCCCGAGCAAGAAGGGAGTCATGCGTGCTGAGGTGCAGTACCTCTTGGATCATGGACTGGCTACACCTTGTGAGTCCCCGTGGGCCTCACCTTGTATCTTGGTGCCCAAACCCCAAGGTAAGGTGCGGTTATGTACTGACTATCGTAAACTCAATCAAGTAACTGTCAAGGATGCTTACCCCTTGTCTAGGATAGATGACATCCTTGATGCCATTGGTAGTGCCCAGTACTTGTCCCAAGTGGACTTGCTTAAGGGGTACTATCAAGTGTGTCTAACGGAGCGCGCTAAAGAGATATCTGCATTCATCACTCCTTTTGGACTTTTCAGATATGAACGCCTTCCTTTCGGACTATGTAATGCCCCGGCCACCTTTCAGAGAGCTGTCAACCGTGTCATCCAGGGCTTGGATATCACATACGCCTACCTGGACGATATCGTCGTAGCATCCAACACCTGGAGTGAACATCTGCTCCAGCTGCGACGTCTGTTCTCAAAGCTCCTGACAGCCGGCCTCACCATCAACCTGGGCAAGTCCACCTTCGCGAAAGGTAAAGTGCGTTATCTGGGTCATGTTATTGGGAGTGGCAGCCTAGCTCCGTTAGACTCACACACTCAAGCCATCCAACAGTATCCACAGCCTACCAAAAGAAAGCAGCTCCTGCGCTTCCTTGGTCTTGCCTCCTACTACCGTAGGTTTGTGAGGAATTTCAGTACAGTCGCCACACCTCTAATTCTATTAACCAGTCCCAAGCAACGGTATAATTGGACCATGCAGCAAACCGTTGCTTTCGAACAACTCAAATTCCTCCTCTGTTCTAATCCCATTCTCGCCTCACCAGATATCACCAAGCCTTTCGTCCTTCATGTCGACGCCAGTGGTACCGGCATTGGTGGTGTCCTGATGCAACAACGAGGCGAGGAGGTTCTACCTGTCAGCTACTACAGCTACAAATTGAAACCACACCAGAGGAACTACAGCACTATTGAAAAGGAGCTACTATCCATCGTCCTGAACCTCCAACACTTCGCTCCGTACCTACAAGGCGCCAGGTCTACAACCATCTTCTCAGACCACAACCCTCTCCGCTTCCTACATCAAGCCCAATTCACTAACCAGCGTCTTCTATGGATGGGATTTGTATTTACAAGATTTCAACCTGGAGATCCGCTATATCAAGGGTTCTGACAACACCATAGCCGATGCCCTCTCCAGAGTTTATGAAGTAGAAGCGACTCCATCCATTACTCCACCACATAACGACGTACTTCTTCCAGAACCGCAGGCTTCGGGGGAGAGTTGTGACGATAATCTCCTTCAAGAGATTGAGCCTGCTCTTCCCTCCAAAAATACGTCGCTACAAATATATAAAACTACTATGGAAGAAATATCCAACAACGACAACAACATCTCCAAGGTTTGCCAGAGAGCAAAACGTATGCAGCCAGGAACACCTGCTCCACCTCAAACCGCCAAACTACCTGTCTTGTCGCCTGCTCATCGCTGATTGGCTGCGGGGTCCAGCTGCAACTGCACTCCACCCACCATACTACTTGATGTCTGGGGCCGCCACGACCTCAGTCTTCAGAATATCCCGTGCTTTAGACAAGTTAACACGTCTCGTTGGTAGACTAAGCCCCAGGCTTACGTGTACTAAGAGAGGTGTACTTTCTACTTCCTATTGCTTAGATACTCCCTTATCCACTGGAGCACCTTACCAGCTACACCTGCCTGTCTCTCCAGCTTATGTACCAGCCTCTTATGCGGTACTGTGTCAAAGGCTTTCCGACAATCCAAGAAAATGCAGTCCGCCCAGCCCTCTCTTTCTTGCTTAATCTTTGTCACCTGATTGTAGAATTCTATCAAGCCTGTAAGGCAAGATTTACCCTCCCTGAACCCATGTTGGCGATTTGTCACGAAGTCCCTTCTCTCCAGATGTGTTACCAGGTTTTTTCTCACGATCTTCTCCATCACCTTGCATGGTATACAAGTCAAGGACACTGGCCTGTAGTTCAGTGCCTCTTGCCTGTCACCCTTTTTGTATTTTGGGACCACATTCGCCGTCTTCCATATTTCTGGTAGGTCTCCCGTCTCCAGTGACTTACTATACACTATGGAGAGTGGCAAGCAAAGTGCCTCTGCACACTCTTTCGGTATCCATGGTGAGATCCCATCTGGACCAACAGCCTTACTAACATCCAGATCCAGCAGGTGTCTCTTGACCTCCTCTCTCGTAATTTCGAACTCTTATAAGGCCGCCTGGTTTATCTCCCTTTCTCCTAGCACAGTGACCTCACCTTGTTCTATTGTGAAGACCTCCTGGAACCTCTTGTTGAGTTCTTCACACACCTCTCTGTCATTCTCTGTATACCTGTCCTCGCCTGTTCGAAGTTTCAATACCTGTTCTTTCACTGTTGTTTTCCTTCTGATGTGACTGTGGAGTAGCTTTGGTTCGGTCTTGGCTTTGTTTGCTATATCATTTTCAAAACTTTTCTCTGCTTCTCTTCTCACCCTGACGTACTCATTCCTGATTCTCTGGTATCTCTCTCTGCTTTCTGGTGTTCTGTTATTCCGGAAGTTCCTCCACGCCCTTTTGTTCAGTTTCTTCGCTTCCATACATGCCCTATTGTACCATGGATTCTTCTGTTGCTTCTCGGATTTTTCCCTTTGGGCCGGGATGAACCTGTTTACTGCCTCCTGACACTTTGGGTAACATAGTCCATCATACCCTGTACAGAGTTATCTCTGAGGTCTGTGTCCCAAGGTATTTCACTTAGGAAACTTCTCATCTGTTCATAATTTCCCTTTCGGTATGCCAGCCTTTTGATTCCTAGTTCTTTTTTGGGGGAGATAAGTCCTAGCTCTACCAGGTACTCAAAGTTCAATACACTGTGGTCACTCATTCCCAAGGGCACTTCCATCTTAACTTCTCTTATATCCCACTCATTTAGGGTAAATATCAAATCAAGCATTGCTGGTTCATCTTCTCCTCTCATTCTTGTTGGTTCTTTGATGTGCTGGCTTAGAAAGTTTCTTGTTGCCACGTCCAGCAGCTTAGCCCTCCATGTTTCTGGTCCTCCATGCGGGTCTCTGTTCTTCCAATCTATCTTCCCATGGTTGAAGTCTCCCATAATTAGTAGTCCAGATACATTCCTGCTAGCAACAGAAGCTGCTCTTTCTATTATGTTAATGGTGGCCATGTTGTTTCTATCATATTCCTGTCTAGGTCTTCTGTCATTTGGTGGTGGATTATATATGACTACGACTATAATTTTTTTCTCTCCATTTGTTACGGTACCTGCTATGTAGTCACTGAAACCTTCACAGCCCTGAATATCCATCTCCTCAAAATCCCAACCTTTTCTTACCAGCAGAGCTACACCACCCCCACCTCTTCCTTCCCTCTCTTTCCTCATAACATAATAGTTCTGTGGGAACACTGCGTTTGTTATCATTTTCGTGATCTTTGTTTCTGTGAGGGATATTATGTCTGAGTTTTCCTCTAGTACCCGTTCACCAAGCTCATTTGCTTTATTTGTAATTCCATCTATGTTAGTGTACATCGCTTTGAGGCTCACTTTCTTCTGTCCCTTCTCAAATCGCCTCCTTGGTGAGTGTTCTGCTGGTGGGGGAGGCTGTTCCATGGGTGTGAGGACCTGTGAGGTGGATAACTGGGTCTCGGAGGATACTGGGATGAGGGGACGGGGGATCCACTGAAGGGGGAGGGACAGGGAGGGTATGGGGTGAAAGGGGAGGGAGGACGGGAAGGAAAGGGGGGGAGGGAGGACTCGGGAGGTGGGGAGGGGTAGAAGGGTGGGGATTGAGTGTGGGGGGAGGGAGATTTGGCTGAACATTTGAGTGGGGGCAGGGAGGGTTTGGGGTAGGGGGGTTTTCTATGCAGAGGAGGGAGGCGGGGTTGTCCTCCCTTCTGGTGTTACTGGGTAGCTGGTTGTGGGTTCCCCCCTCGCTTCTGGGGGTGTTGTGTTGGGAGCTGTGACTTCCTGGTTTTCCAGGAAGTGTGTGTGTGTGTGTGTGTGCCTGGGGTAAAAGAGACCCTGGAGCTGCCAGTTTTCTTTTTCAGCGCCTTAGTGTGGCAATCCAGAGAGGAAATGCTCACTGCATCCATGGTTCTTGCCCGCCATCTGAGGAGCTGGAGGAGCTATTCAACTTGTGACAAGCAGCCTTGTACCCTGCGTGTAATCAATATTGTAACTTTTTTTGTGTAATGACATTTTCACATAAAGTTAGATAAATATACACACATACCAAAAGAAGAGGGGTGGTAGGAGAAGCTCATCATGTGTGTAACATGGGATTACCTCATCAGGTGTGTAACGTGGGGATTACCTCATCACGTGTGTAACATGGGGATTACCTCATCACGTGTGTAACGTGGGGATTACCTCATCAGGTGTGTTACGTGGAGATTTAGTGTTTATTCCAACTATTCCAACTTGAATATTATCATCTTTTGATATATCTCAAATAATATTTTGTAATCCAATGATAATCTGATGCTCATGCTTATTGAATACAAAAGGTTATTTCTGTACCTTCAGTATAAGACCAATAAATCCAGTATATAACAATAATTTGAGGTTACCGTCTGAGAGCCGAGAGATCTCCAGCGGCAGCAGAAAACAGCAGGTCAAAGAGGATCTGAGCTTTGGACTCTGCCTTGGCCATGCGCGGGTCACACTTGGAGGTGAAGTGCCCGCGAAGGTTGTCAAAGTTGTGGAAATTGAAACGAGATACCAGCTCCTGTAAATAACATGTGCTTCAGTCTCTTCAACTGTATGAGCCTTAAACTTAAGGTATATAATGTTCTGGTGTACATCCTGGCTCTAGTATTAAACATTAAGAGAAACAGAAAATAAATTTAAAATAATAATAATGTTTAAATTTTTCATATTTTGTTTTTCATATCCGTGAAATCAAGTTAAATTATCATGAACCTCATTACCACGCCTTCAAGTGTCGTAGAATCTAGAGGGAATAATTCAAAGGAAAGATAAATGAAGAATTGGAAAAAATAGTTGTATTAATATATCTTTTTAACATGCCTTATCACATTTTTAACTCTACACATGCATGTACCTAGCTCCTCTACACTGTACAGAGGGTTACACTGTGTCAGTTGTGATACTGTGACAGTAAAGGCCGCATCTTCCAGGAAGGTTCATCACCACCACACATCTCACAGGAAGGTTCACCACCACCACACATCACCCAGGAAGCTTCAGCATCACCACACATCTCCCAGGAAGATTCACCACCACCACACATCACTCAGGAAGGTTCATCATCACCACTCATCTCACAGGAAGATTCACCACCACCACACATCACTCAGGAAGGTTCACCACCACCACACATCACCCAGGAAGCTTCAGCATCACCACACATCTCCCAGGAAGGTTCACCACCACCACACATCTCCCAGGAAGGTTCACCACCACCACACATCACCCAGGAAGGTTCACCACCACCACACATCACCCAGGAAGGTTCACCACCACCACACATCACCCAGGAAGGTTCACCACCACCACACATCACCCAGGAAGGTTCAACACCACCACACATCTCCCAGGAAGGTTCACCACCACCACACATCACCCAGGAAGGTTCAACACCACCACACATCTCCCAGGAAGGTTCACCACCACCACACATCACCCAGGAAGGTTCACCACCACCACACATCACCCAGGAAGGTTCACCACCACCACACATCACCCAGGAAGGTTCAACACCACCACACATCTCCCAGGAAGGTTCACCACCACCACACATCACCCAGGAAGGTTCAACACCACCACACATCTCCCAGGAAGGTTCACCACCACCACACATCACCCAGGAAGGTTCAACACCACCACACATCACCCAGGAAGGTTCACCACCACCACACATCACCCAGGAAGGTTCACCACCACCACACATCACCCAGGAAGGTTCAACACCACCACACATCTCCCAGGAAGCTTCAGCATCACCACACATCTCCCAGGAAGCTTCAGCATCACCACACATCTCCCAGGAAGGTTCAACACCACCACACATCTCCCAGGAAGGTTCAACACCACCACACATCTCCCAGGAAGGTTCAACACCACCACACATCTCCCAGGAAGGTTCACCACCACCACACATCACCCAGGAAGGTTCACCACCACCACACATCACCCAGGAAGGTTCACCACCACCACACATCACCCAGGAAGGTTCACCACCACCACACATCACCCAGGAAGCTTCAGCATCACCACACATCTCCCAGGAAGGTTCAACACCACCACACATCACCCAGGAAGCTTCAGCATCACCACACATCTCCCAGGAAGGTTCAACACCACCACACATCTCCCAGGAAGGTTCAACACCACCACACATCACCCAGGAAGGTTCAGCACCACCACACATCTCCCAGGAAGGTTCAACACCACCACACATCACCCAGGAAGGTTCAACACCACCACACATCACCCAGGAAGGTTCAACACCACCACACATCTCCCAGGAAGGTTCAACACCACCCAGGTGTTTGTGCACCCAAGGATTTATATTTATTAAGCACTAGAAGTTCATCTTATTACACACAAACTTCACAGAGTTCTCTGCACCTTCCAGCCACCACTATCATTCTCTGCTGTAGCTTCACCCGTCAGCCACCTCTATCATTCTCTGCTGTAACTTCACCCATCAGCCACCTCTATCATTCTCTGCTGTAACTTCACCCGTCAGCCACCTCTATCATTCTCTGCTGTAACTTCACCCGTCAGCCACCACTATCATTCGCTGCTGTAACTTCACCCGTCAGCCACCTCTATCATTCGCTGCTGTAACTTCACCCGTCAGCCACCTCTATCATTCGCTGCTGTAACTTCACCCGTCAGCCACCTCTATCATTCTTTGCTGTAACTTCACCCGTCAGCCACCTCTATCATTCTCTGCTGTAACTTCACCCGTCAGCCACCTCTATCATTCGCTGCTGTAACTTCACCCGTCAGCCACCTCTATCATTCGCTGCTGTAACTTCACCCGTCAGCCACCTCTATCATTCTTTGCTGTAACTTCACCCGTCAGCCACCTCTATCATTCTTTGCTGTAACTTCACCCGTCAGCCACCTCTATCATTCTTTGCTGTAACTTCACCCGTCAGCCACCTCTATCATTCTTTGCTGTAACTTCACCCGTCAGCCACCTCTATCATTCTTTGCTGTAACTTCACCCGTCAGCCACCTCTATCATTCTTTGCTGTAACTTCACCCGTCAGCCACCTCTGTCATTCGCTGCTGTAACTTCACCCGTCAGCCACCACTATCATTCTCTGCTGTAACTTCACCCGTCAGCCACCTCTGTCATTCTCTGCTGTAACTTCACCCGTCAGCCACCTCTATCATTCTCTGCTGTAACTTCACCCGTCAGCCACCTCTATCATTCTCTGCTGTAACTTCACCCGTCAGCCACCACTATCATTCGCTGCTGTAACTTCACCCGTCAGCCACCTCTATCATTCGCTGCTGTAACTTCATCCGTCAGCCACCTCTATCATTCGCTGCTGTAACTTCACCCGTCAGCCACCTCTATCATTCTTTGCTGTAACTTCACCCGTCAGCCACCTCTATCATTCTCTGCTGTAACTTCACCCGTCAGCCACCTCTATCATTCGCTGCTGTAACTTCACCCGTCAGCCACCTCTATCATTCGCTGCTGTAACTTCACCCGTCAGCCACCTCTATCATTCTTTGCTGTAACTTCACCCGTCAGCCACCTCTATCATTCTTTGCTGTAACTTCACCCGTCAGCCACCTCTATCATTCTTTGCTGTAACTTCACCCGTCAGCCACCTCTATCATTCTTTGCTGTAACTTCACCCGTCAGCCACCTCTATCATTCTTTGCTGTAACTTCACTTCACCCGTCAGCCACCTCTGTCATTCGCTGCTGTAACTTCACCCGTCAGCCACCTCTGTCATTCTCTGCTGTAACTTCACCCGTCAGCCACCTCTGTCATTCTCTGCTGTAACTTCACCCGTCAGCCACCTCTGTCATTCTCTGCTGTAACTTCACCCGTCAGCCACCTCTGTCATTCTCTGCTGTAACTTCACCCGTCAGCCACCTCTATCATTCTTTGCTGCTGCTGTAACTTCATCCGTCAGCCACCTCTATCATTCTCTGCTGTAACTTCACCCGTCAGCCACCTCTGTCATTCTCTGCTGTAACTTCACCCGTCAGCCACCTCTTCTCTCATGTATAAATGTTTGCTGTACTTCACCCGTCAGCCACTGTCATTCGCTGCTGTTACTTCACCCGTCTCTGTCATTCTCTGCTGTAACTTCACCCGTCAGCCACCTCTATCAGTAACTTCATGACGATTAATCCTATCGTACACCTATATCATTGTCAAGCCATGACGCCATACAATTCTGGTGACGGCTTCACACTATGATGACGGCCCTGGTGTATACCTACCTATGATGACGGCATACAACCCTGGTGTATTAAACTATGCTGCATACAACTGGTGCACCTGCATCAGTATTAAACATGCTGACGGCATACAACCCTGGTGTATACCTGCATCAGCTGACGGCATACAACCCTGGTGTATACCTGCATCAGTATTAAACTATGATGACGACATACAACCCTGGTGTATACCTGCATCAGTATTAAACTATGATGACGACATACAACCCTGGTGTATACCTGCATCAGTATTAAACTATGATGCATACAACCCTGGTGTATACCTGCATCAGTATTAAACTATGATGACGGCTTACAACCCTGGTGTATACCTGCATCAGTATTAAACTATGATGACGACATACAACCCTGGTGTATACCTACATCAGTATTAAACTATGATGACGGCATACAACCCTGGTGTATACTACATCAGTATTAAACATCAGTTCTTAGTTGGAAACCAGAGGTCAAATTGAGTTTCCAACTATGATGACGCCATGCAAGCTTCTCATACCTGGTGTATACCTGCATCAGTATTAAACTATGATGACGGTAACTAGTAACAACCCTGGTGTATACCTGCATCAGTATTAAACTATGATGACGGCTGGCTGTTGTGGTGATACAACCCTGGTGTATACCTGCATCAGTATTAAACTATGCTGACGGCTGTAATTACAAGCCCTGGTGTATACCTGCATCAGTATTAAACTATGCTGACGGCTTACAACCCTGGTGTATACCTGCATCAGTATTAAACTGCAATTGTAAACCTTGCTTCCTGTCTATGTGGACCAGGGTGACGGCATACAACCCTGGTGTATACCTACATCAGTATTAAACTATGCTGACGGCATACAACCCTGGTGTATACCTGCATCAGTATTAAACTATGCTGACGGCATACAACCCTGGTGTATACCTGCATCAGTATTAAACTATGATGACGACATACAACCCTGGTGTATACCTGCATCAGTATTAAACTATGATGACGGCTTACAACCCTGGTGTATACCTGCATCAGTATTAAACTATGATGACGACATACAACCCTGGTGTATACCTGCATCAGTATTAAACTATGATGACGCCATACAACCCTGGTGTATACCTGCATCAGTATTAAACTATGATGACGCCATACAACCCTGGTGTATACCTGCATCAGTATTAAACTATGATGACGGCATACAACCCTGGTGTATACCTGCATCAGTATTAAACTATGATGACGGCATACAACCCTGGCTAATAACAAAATGTGTCAAGCCATGATGGCTGTATACAACCCTGGTTTATAACTATATCACCATTGTATCTGTTGGTTATATCATACACTCTTCCCCGTTATATATGTTGGTGTTATATCTTGCACTCGTCCCTGTTATATATATTGGTGTTATATCCTACTCTCTCCCCTGTTATATATGTTGGTGTTATATCTTACATTCCCCCCCGTTATATCTGTTGGTGTTATGTCTTACACTCCCCCCTGTTATATCTGTTTGTGTTATATCGTGCAGTCTTCTCATACCAGCATTACCAGTCATGTATGTATTGGAATATATTTCATAATATCCTTTCATCAGACTTTGAAAGTGTGTTCTACACCTACTTTTAATCAATTATCTACCTACTATAGTACCCTTTCTTAAATTATAAGCATAATTATAATTATAATTATAATTATAATTATAATTATAATTATTATGTTTTTAAAAAAGGAAGCGTATCTGAATTACTGGCTAGGCACCATTCCTCCCCACCCCCGTCCCATCCTTAATCCTTATCCTGTTCCCTTCCATGGGCTATAAAATCGTAATGGCTTGGCGCTTCCCGATGATAATTTAAAAAAAAATAGGTGTTTTAGGCATGTTCTCCCCAATATCAATAAAGTTAACTGAGCCTCTCATCCCCATAGGACTGAACGACCCTTCTCACTTACCATACAAAACTGGACGGCACGACAGGAATTTCCATTGGTGTCGAGGGGTGGAGACCAGAGGCAGATGCCCATTGTGTTGGGCACCACCAGGAGCACGCAGCCAGAGACGCCGGACTTGGATGGCAGCCCGACCTGTGAGGACATTGTACACGCTTTCTCTAGGTTACTTATGCAAGTACCTTGATAAACAGTCACTTAAATGACAGATGACCTTGCAAGCATCAGATTTGAACAGCGTTGTTTATCTGTGTATGTATCGTCTAAGCCATTCTCTCTCTCTCTCTCTCTCTCTCTCTCTCTCTCTCTCTCTCTCTCTCTCTCTCTCTCTCTCTCTCTCTCTCTCTCTCTCTCTCTCTCTCTCTCTCTCTCTCTCTCTCTCTCTCTCTCTCTCTCTCTCTCTCTCTCTCTCTCTCTCTCTCTCTCTCTCTCTCTCTCTCTCTCCTCTCTCTCTCTCTCTCTCTCTCTCTCTCTCTCTCTCTCTTTCTCTCTGGCTGGGGGAGAGTGAGGGAAGGACAGGGTGAGGCTGGGGGAGAGTGAGGGAAGAAGAAGGGGGAGGCTGGGGATAGTGAAGGAAGGAGAGTGAGAGGCTGGGGGAGAGTGAGGGAAGAAGAAGGGGGAGGCTGGGGATAGTGAAGGAAGGAGAGTGGGGAAGCTGGGGGAGAGTGAGGGAAGGACAGGGTGAGGCTGGGGGTGAGTGAGGGAAGAAGAAGGGGGAGGCTGGGGATAGTGAAGGAAGGAGAGTGAGAGGCTGGGGGAGAGTGAGGGAAGAAGAAGGGGGAGGCTGGGGATAGTGAAGGAAGGAGAGTGGGGAACCTGGGGGAGAGTGAGGGAAGGAGTGGAGGAGGTTGGGGGTTAGTGAGGGAAGGAGAGGGGGAGGCTGGGGGAGAGAGAGGGAAGGAGAGGGGATAGGCTGGGGGAGAGAGAGGGAAGGAGAGGGGGGAGGCTGGTAGAGAGAGAGGGGAGAGCGAGGGAATGAGAGGGGGAGGCTGGGGGAGAGTGAGGGAGGGAAAGGAGAGGCTGGAGGAGGGGGAGGGTGGATGATGAGGGAGAGTGGAGTAGAAGGGTAAGAGGGGGAGGTTGGGAGTGAGGGGAAACGAAGGGGGTTATTGTGGCCAAAAGGTAAAGTGGGTGGGAGAGGGGAAGATAGGAGAAAGGAAATGAAAGAGAGGTGGGGGGGAAGAGGAGGAGGAGGGAGAGAGACCCAGGTAAAGCCGGATACCCCAACTAGTTTTAATATAACAACAAATCATTATAAACCTATGCAAAATAGTTTTGGAAACCATGCAACATGATATTGCAACATAGTACTTGTAAACATGTAACTCAACACAGTATTTGAAACTATACAACATAGCTCAGTATTGGAAACTATTCAGCATCGCATTGGAAACAATGAAATATTGTATTGAAAACAATGCAACATAATATTGGACACCATTGTACTGACAACCATACCTCGTAGTATTGAATTCATGCGACCAAATCCAGGAATCTATAACACATAGCATTGGGAACTATGCCACTTAGTACTGGAATTCAATAATAAGTCTAATAAAAAAGTACTGAAAACCACGTGGCATAGTACTGGAAAACATGTGACATAGTGCCAGAAAATATGCACCATAGAGCTGGAAATCTTGTGACATAGTACAGGACATCATACCTTAAAAGCAAATTGTCCGGAGTAGTTGTACATGCCACAGGAGTGCATGAGGGTGAGCGTGTTCCTGACGGCGTCCACAGTGAGGACCGGGTCTCCCGTGAGGGGGTTGATGCCCCCGTTGGCCAGGGTGGCCGCCATCACCGCCCCGGACTCTGCCGTGATCTCCAGCGAACACAACTGAAACATACAATTATCTTCATCACTCACTTTTGGAGTGAGAATATTTAATCATCATATACGTTGTGCCTTCCCTTTGCACAGAGTGTGACCCTGACTTCAACACACATGTGTGCCTTGCACAAATGTGTGTTGAAGTACATACCAACAACATCAGGTACCTTGTTGTTGACATGTTTCAGAGAGGCTTCCGGTGCTGACCGCACAAGTTGACCGGAAGTGACATTTAGGGATGGTCTTGGACAGGGGTCGTAGGTGTGGAAGCGCAGGACATGTGTTGACTGGAAGTGGTTTCAGCGTGTGAATGAATACGGACACCAGCAAGTGCCAGGTCTCAGTGCAGTCCGAACGTCGAGGTGAGGTGATCTATGGTGAGCTCAGCTAGAATAGCTGAGATTTGATGCGACATGTCCAAGCTGGTTGCTCCACACCCACCCCGAGCCCTGCTTGATACCTACTTGATGTGGTTCTGAGAGTTCTTCTACTCCAAGCCCAGCCCGAGGCCAGGCTTGACTTGTGAGAGCTTGGTTATCTTGAGATGATTTCAGGGCTTTAGTGTCCCCGCGGCCCGGTCCTCGACCAGGCCTCCACCCCCAGGAAGCAGCCCGTGACAGCTGACTAACACCCAGGTACCTATTTTACTGCTAGGTAACAGGGGCATAAAGTGAAAGAAACTCTGCCCATTGTTTCTCGCCGGCGCCCGGGATCGAACCCGGGACTACAGGATCACAAGTCCAGTGTGCTGTCCGCTCGGCCGACCGGCTCCCGTTAGGCTGTTGTTTGGAGCGGCCCGCAGGCCCATATATCCACCACAGCCCGATTGTTCCGGCACTTCTTGAAGAAACCCGGTTGTTTTCTATATTGTGATGGTTGTTCCGGCAATATTTCTTATACTCGCTGGGAGTATCTTGAACAACCGTGAACCTCTGATGTTTATACAGTGTTCTCTGACTGCGCATATGGCATCCCTGCTCTTCACTGGCTCTATTCTGCAATTTCTTCCATATCGTTCACTCCAGTATGTTGTTATTTTACTGTATACATTTGGTACCTGGCCCTCCAGTATTTTCCATGTGTATATTATATGCTATCTATCTCGTTTTCTTTCTAGTGAGTACATTTGGAGAGATTTGAGGCGATCCCCAATAATTTAGGTGCTTTATCGCGTCTATATATGTGAATACATATATATAGACGCGATATATGTTATACGTTATAACGTTACAATGTTATACGTTATAACGTTACAATGTTAAACGTTATAACGTTACAATGTTATACGTTATAACGTTACAATGTTAAACGTTATAACGTCACAATGTTATAACGTTACAATGTTATAACGTTAATGTTATAACGTTAACGTTATGTTATACGTTATACTGTACATTATACATAATACGTATATGTTCTCTGTATTCCCCTCTATTTCAGAAATCTTTCCTGCTCTGAAAGGTACTGAATCTGAAGTGAGTACTGAACAGTACTTGAGACGGGACAGAACAAGTGATTTGAATAGTACAACCATAGTAATGGGATCCCTGGATTTGAACGTTCTCATAATCTATCCTATCATTTTTCTGGCTGACGCAATATTTGCTTAATTATGCTCCCTAAACGTTAGGTCGTTAGATATCATTATTCCCAAATCTTCTACATGATGCTTTTCTACTATGGGCAGGTCTGATTGTGTTTTGTACCCTGTATTATGTTTAAGGTCCTCATTTTTACCGTACCTGAGTACCTGGAATTTATCACTGTTAAACATCATGTTATTTTCTGTTGCCCAGTTGAAAACTTTATTAATATCTGCTTGACGTTTTTCAATGTCTTCAGCAGCCTTGGACCCTGCAGCCGTGCTTGGTGAAGCTAACAGTTGATTTATGAGTAGCACGTGTGAATATATGAGAGACTAACATTAGCTGGTTGCAGAAAGAGCAGCCAGTAACCAGCTTCCACCAGATGTACTTGCAATGCATAAAGGATAAGAGGAAGAAAGGTGGCACAGAATCCTAGCAACATGTGCAGAAGCCACTGACACTGATACCCTTTCACACTGGATGAGCTCAATTGGGCTAAGAAAAACTCCCAAAATACATCCCCTGGAGACGTCAAAATAACCTATAAAATTATTAGAAACCTAGGTGCAGAATGAGACACTATACCTAAGGTTAGTTAATTTAGCCTGGACTTCTCAAACTAGATCTACATTTTGGAATAGGACAGACATAGTGCAGATAAAAAAAAATTAAAAAATGCAGCTAATCCAAGGCCTATTATCTAAAGCTGTGTAGCCAAGACGGCTGACAGAATAGCACTCAACAGACTTTAGTAGAAAATGCCTAAACTGCACCAGGATATGTATGCCTATAGAAAAGGGGTTGGCACAGTGGAATGCATTACAAATCTGTTAGCCCACTTGAATGACACACCAGGAATGCTGATATTCTTGGACCTCGAGAAAGCCATTGAACTGGCTAGCGCCCCAGCAGTTCTCTGCTGCCTCATCAACAAAGAGGTCAAAGGCAACCTGCTCTCCTGGACCAAAAACTGTCTCATAAATAGAGAAACAAGAGTAAAACTTCACGGCACAGTCTCTGAATACAAAAAGACATGAAAATGGTACACCGCAAGGAGAAATTCCCAGCCCCCTTCTCTTCAACTGTTTAATGGAAAGAATAATGAGGCTAACACTCCCACGACATTGCAGGCTCCTAAACTATGGGGATGACTTTTCATCATCAAAAAAAGAAGGGATGTGACATGCCTTACACCCAAATGCTTAGACTGCATCAGTGAAAAGGCAAAGCAAATTGGTATCAAACTCAACCCTGTCAGCAGACGGATTTTCCAGCTCCCTTGTTCACTGTAATGTGTGTGCTCAGGACAGGAAGACTAGTGCACAGGAGTGTGTGCACAGGGCACAAATTTGAGAAACACAACTCCCACACAGTTGTGATGGGTGTCTGTGGACAGCCTTGGGTACGAGCTTCCCAACAGAGCTATAGTCATCGCTATAAGAAGTCTGTAGAGAAAGTTATAGCCAGGAGTTTATTTCATGTGAATTTTTGTACAAGTTTAAGAGGAGACGGGGGTTGGGGGGTCAACGGTAGTAGGACGATTCCCCCCCCACTACTAGCCCCCTCGTGCCATGATGTAGTAGATTGCGCCATCTCAAAGAGAGTCGTGATTCGTCGACGCACCAGGCCTCTGGAGATGCTTGTCTGTGACTGGTGCATATGAGCTGAGGGGTGTCCAGCCGAGGTGGGCCCTCGTTTGGCACCAAAATTCATTTTTGCTGTGTCATTTGCTTGGAGAGGCTGTGATTTTCCTTGCTAGGCCAAACATCGGAAATACCGCCTGCATAGACGTCACAACCTGTCCTCTTAAAAATAACGTCGCTTTTGGCCGTTTGCCCGTATGGCCGAAAGTGGACGTAATTTGAAAATGAAAAAAATTTCAATAAATTTGGGATTTTTTTTTCAACAACAGTAAGTTAAGGGTCCACTGATAGGTTAGGTGGCCAGGAAATTCTCATAAAGTTTCAAAACGTTATGAAAAACGTTAATTTGAAGTTTCCTCTCCTAACCTGTCCGCGTAGGCCGGACGACTCAAACAGAAAACGGAACAGTACGTCACTTTTGTGAGTCAATTTCATTTCAAATTACGTCCAAATTTGGCCATAGCGCCGCGCATACGAGCTAAATGTGACGTTATTTTTAAGAGGACGGGTTGCTCTATCATCGTGCCATCGTTCTGGGACCGCTGGAATAAGAATCCGGTATCGTGAGGGTTGGGATCGTCGAGTTATATAGATAAGTATAATTAGTGTACTTCTACTGTTGTTTGTGTCTCGAGAGACAAGTGTTAACGTAAAACTTGATAGGGGGTTATCTGTGTTGGATTACCAACCTAATTACTTTTGTTATCTCACAGGGAGGGCTGCGAGTGATTATAATTGTGATTATAGTATTTATCTCGCAGGAGAGGCTGTGAGAAATATTGGTTGCAAGTTTGTGTCATTAGTGGGCACAACTCTGTTCAGTTAGTGTCATTATTCAGCTCGCGATAACGGATACGAGTCCGTGGTTGAATTAGTTGTATCTATCGTGCCACTGTAAGATAGTAAAGTAACGTAAACTCGTTGTTGTAGTAGTGTTAGTCATATGTTGAATAAACTGTTATTGTTCATGGGTGCTTTTATCACTAGAAGGAGCCAGCGACCTAAGTGGATGGGATTTCACCTTAAGTGGAATCCTTGCGGTTTGCTCCCTCTTTCCTATGGTCTCATGTTTAAAGAAAAATATTTACATCTAAGCAGTCCTTTCTGTTTGAGGTCTGGCTCCCAAGTCAGGTAGTTACACTAACGTAACATCAGTAGGATAAAAAAAAATGCACAAACCCCACCAAGACAAAAGCCATGCCCATAAAAATCGTGAAGCCCAACAACCAACTTAAAGTACAGGGTCAACCAATTTAATGGGTGGACACTTATCAGTATCTTGGAATTATTATGGACACACAAATTTTAATGCTGAAGTCACTTACATGAGAGAGAGAACTGCGGCAATCCTCAGGTCGCTAACCTCCCTCTCTGGAGGAGCCAGTCTGTAAGTCCTTCGCACATACTATGTACAGGCAGGTAGATCAGTGATCGACTATGCCGCACCTGCACTCACAAGCCTATTACAACAATGGTGGAAAAGCTTGAAGTAGCACAAAAAAATGCTATAAGAGCTGCCCGGGGAGCCTCTATGTGGACCAGGCTTGAAACTTTAAGACTGGAAACTGGTTTTCCCTCACTTCAAGAAACAATATCCCAAAGTGGGATAACAACTATGATAATCAGTAAGATAACTGTCTCTTCACTAAGGTTCCACCGCCGTCAAGATGGTCTACAAGTATAGTAGGAGAGAGCGAGTCTCTTCACTAAGCTTACACCGCCGTCCGTGCCGACTTCAACTTACCTGGAAATAGAAGTCGAGCGTCTCGTGCAGGCGGGTTCCCTCGGGGAAGCACTTGTTCTCCCTCATGAAGTAGGCCAGGGCGAAGTTGCGGTCAGCGCACTCCTTCTCCGAGAGGAAGACGGCGTTGTTGAAGCCCAGGTACTCATCCCCCGCCAGCCGCTTGTACATGTTAAACACCTGCCACCCAAAACACACATATATACAAATGTTATTTACTTTCATCATTGCTGTTAATGCTAAATAGTGCATAAATGTAATGTGAATACAACAGCGTGCAGTTTTCACAGTTTTATACACATGAGACTACAGTATTGGCTGTATCATACAACAATAGATGGGGGTCTACTACGCCCACCGTCACTTACTCCATCTTACATAGACAGACCATATATAGTGTTAAGTTAATCTCAGTATGAGATTACCATGTTAATAGGAGTTACAGCAGTGTGGTACAGCAGTGTGGTACAGCAGTGTGGTACAGCAGTGTAGTACAGCAGTGTGGTACAGCAGTGTAGTACAGCAGTACAGCAGTGTGGTACAGCAGTGTGATAAAGCAGTGAGGTACAGCAGTGTGGTACAGCAGTGTGGTACAGCAGTGTGATACAGCAGTGTGATACAGCAGTGTAGTGCAGCAGAGTGATACAGCAGTGTGGCACATCAGTGTGATACAGCAGAGTGGTACAGCAGTGTGATACAGCAGTGTAGTACAGCAGTTTGATACAGCAGTGTGGTTCATCAGTGTGGTACAGTAGTGTGATACAGCATTGTGGTACATCAGTGTGGTACATCAGTGTGGTACAACAGTGTGGTACAGCGGTGTGGTTCATCAGTGTGGTACAACAGTGTGGTACAGTAGTGTGATACAGCATTGTGGTACATCAGTGTGGTACAACAGTGTGGTACAGCGGTGTGGTACAGCAGTGTGGTACAGTAGTGTGATAAATCAGTGTGGTACAGTTCAAGTCACGATGGTGTTAGGAGTTACACCTGTGGAAAATTTCCACCACAGTTATAGCTTAACATGTTTGAATAACATGGTTTAATGAGTTACAAACCCATTAAGATTTCAACTTTGATTCAACAGAGCAGAAAAAGTTGTTAAACACGTGGGACAAAATCTTACTGACGCGACCATAATAGTCATAAATACTCATACTACGCCCAAGTAAAACAGAAACAAGCAACACTTAGTGGGCCAGCCAGAGGCTTAGGGCCCGCGCAGGAATATCCCTGAAAAAAAAAGGTCTATGAAAGCACATTTACCAGGCATGGCTATTTTTAGAACAAGCAAAGCTTTCTCAAGACAGAGTGTCATGTCAGCATACTGCGACTATTTTGTGTACACCATCCCAAGAAGGCCCCTTAATGAATCCATTCAAGGATATGTAATTACATCTAATAGTTATAAGTAAATAATGGTAATACTCCAAAATAAATGTGAATACTTATGGATCCTTAATGCAGGCAGGGCAACGATACTCGCCTTGGCGTGGATCACCTTGGTGTCTGGACGCTGATGCTTTACTAAACATTACTCCGCCACCACATAAGGACACTGAGATGTACAAGCTACTTAACTTGCAGCCGTTCTACATCCGTGGACCTGAATGGTGGTGTTTACACAGAAAATGTGCAGAAACAGCAAGACACTCTATTTAAAGTGATATAAGTATGTTTCTTTTTATAAAGAAACAGTGAGAGGAGTGTGATCACCGACGCCACAGCAGCGACGCCACACACCCTCACACAGAGAGTCAACGACTTCATTTCAACATCAGTTGTGAAGAGCACTACACCTGTGACCTCTGTGACCACCTACACCTCTGGCCCAACAAGATCGTTCAATCTTAGTACAGTAAAATAGAGCTCCGTACCTGCATCTTCATAAAATAATGGAGGTTGGTGGTGTTGTAACAGGTAATTTGGATCCAATATCTTTGTACCACTAACCCAATTAATTACAGGTGTGGATATACCACGAGTTTACGAGCTCACTTTAGTAAGTAAATTACTTGCCACTAAAATAAAAATATACTAACTAAGTAAATAAATATTGTACAACTATTATATATATTGCAATTGCTTGAAGATAAATTAAAGTAGACAACTGCAATAGATAAATTCATACATTTATGTATGTACCTTACCTAAATAAACATTTATTTATTATTCATTTATAGCAATAAAGAATTAACTGTTTATAATATAAAACATATATTGCTAAATGCCAGAACAAAAGGACAGGCTAAAATAATTTGTAACTGTATCAGTACTAGCTACATTATACTGTTCATATTCCTTACAAAGTGGTAAAGTGGTGATTTTTCATCCAGCAGGTAAATGAAAGCAGCACCATTCTTGTTAGATCAGCCAGAAACTGAGCCACCTGGTGAACACAGAGAACAGATACAGTTCACGGCCCCACGAAGACAACAACGTTTTCCCAGCGGCCACTAAATATGACTACTGTCGCTGTTGACAGCTAAGTTGCTGTTATATTAGTAGTTAGTTCCTTATTTTAGGGAGTCAGAAAAGTAAGAATCCCACAACAGCAGTGTGGTACAGTTCAAGTCACGATGATGTTAGGAGATACAGCAGTGTGGTACAGCAGTGTGGAATATTTCAGGTCATGATGGTGTTGGGAGATACAGCAGTGTGGAATATTTCAGGTCATGATGGTGTTAGGAGATACTGAAGTGTGATACAGCAGTGTGATTCAGCAGTGTGAATCAGCAGTGTGATACAGCAGTGTGATACAGCAGTGTGTTACAGCAGTGTGATACAGCAGTGTGTTACAGCAGTGTGTTACAGCAGTGTGATACAGCAGTGTGTTACAGCAGTGTGTTACAGCAGTGTGATACAGCAGTGTGGTCTAGCAGTGTGGTCTAGCAGTGGTACAGTTGAAGTCACCGCCTCTAAAATACTTACGTAGTCGAAACGGTCCGCTGCTGAGAGATCAGGCTGTAAGAGAAAGAGGTCGATCTTCAGTCAGCTGAGTGCTCAGAGTTTGTGTGTGTGTGTGTGTGTGTGTGTGTGTGTGTGTGTGTGTGTGTGTGTGTGTGTGTGTGTGTGTGTGTGTGTGTGTGTGTGTGTGTGTGTGTGTGTGTACTCATCAAGTTGTACTCGCCTAGTTTTGTTTGCAGGGATTGAGCACTTTCTCTTTGTCTGGCATCTCAACTGTCATTCAACTGGTGTACTTCGTGAGCTCTATCATATGTACATATGAACATGTACACTTAAGCTGCATACTCCAGGATTTATATATATATATATATATATATATATATATATATATATATATATATATATATATATATATATATATATATATATATATATATATATATATATATATATATATATATATATAATATATATATATATATATATATATATATATATATATATATATATATATATATATATATATATATATATATATATATATATATATATATATATATATATATATATATATTGAATATGACCGCATATTCTGTATTTATTATTTTCTGGTTTAGGGCTTCTATCCCTCTAACTATTTCTTAGCATCAGGGCTTAATTGGAATAGGAGTTCTCCAAAACTCATTTTCGTACTTTTAAGGTGAAGAAAAGAAGTGATTTACTATAGAGTGTATTACACTTATTTGTATAATTTGCACGACGTTTCGAACCTCCATGGTTCATTCTCAAGTGAACAGATCTTACAATACTAGTTGATTTTATACCCGCATTAGGTCAGGTGATAATACAATGAAGGTGAAAAACATGGGGGGATACATAAGGGATAAACATAGGGGCTGCAGAAGGCTTATTGGCCCAAACGAGGCATCTCCTATCTAAACACAAAGATTAATCCAGTGTAATTGGCCTGTTATGTTGGACATTGTCTTCTGTGTTGGCATCGATATGTTCTTGTCTTGTCCTTACTCTCATGGTGGGTAGAGTAAATAGTTCCGTGATTTGGGTGTTCATGGTAGGTCGCTCTATTCTTATGTGAATTGCCTCAAGAATTTGTAATCTTCTTGAATCTTGGGTTTTGTCTATTATGCAAGTATTCTTGTTCAACATTTCTCTTGTTAGAGTAATGTCATGGGCTTGTCTCATGTGATTCCTAGGGGCACCAGATTGAAGATGGCATGTCAAACGCCTCGTCAGCTTGGTCGACGTCATACCTATGTACTTACATTGAAGGTTACATCCTTCGTGGGGGCAAGTGTACATGTATACAACGCTTGACTGCTGTAGAGGGTTCTCCGTCGGCTTCGGGCTGTTTTTGATAAGGAGTTTTATTTGCTAATTTTTATATGGGAACCATCGAAGATAGGGTCTTCAGTAGCAGACAAAAACCAACTGTATACTGCCGTTATGTAGATGACATATTCGTAATAGTAAAAGACTCAGATGAACTAATTGACCTAAAAAGACACCTAGAGAGAGAGTCAGTACTCCGATTTACACATGAAAATAGTGAAAATAACAGTCTGCCATTCTTGGATGTACTAATAACAAAAACAGGAACCTCTTTAAGCACCAACGTATATACCAAGCCCACCAACATAGGATTATGCCTTAACGGTAGAAGTGAGTGCCCCCAAAGATACAAAGCCAGTGTTCTCAATGCTTATATTCGTCGAGCGCTTACCCACTGCTCTGAATGGAGCAACGTGAGTAGAGAGTTTGAAAGAGTAACTCAGGTATTGGTGAACAACGGATATAGCAACGCGGAAATAAACGCTGCTATAAGAAGACACTTAGACCGTTGGTATAATTCAGAACCTAGAACAGAAACCACAACACCCCCAATAAAATTATATTACAAATCAACCATGCACAGTGAACATATAAAAGAGGAAAGAATAATGAAAGAAATAATCCGTAAAGGAGTAAAAAGCACTACTCCTAACCAAAACATAAACCTGATAATATTCTACAAAACCAAGAAGACTTCCGAACTCCTTATCAAAAACAGCCCGAAGCCGACGGAGAACCCTCTACAGCAGTCAAGCGTTGTATACATGTACACTTGCCCCCACGAAGGATGTAACCTTCAATGTAAGTACATAGGTATGACGTCGACCAAGCTGACGAGGCGTTTGACATGCCATCTTCAATCTGGTGCCCCTAGGAATCACATGAGACAAGCCCATGACATTACTCTAACAAGAGAAATGTTGAACAAGAATACTTGCATAATAGACAAAACCCAAGATTCAAGAAGATTACAAATTCTTGAGGCAATTCACATAAGAATAGAGCGACCTACCATGAACACCCAAATCACGGAACTATTTACTCTACCCACCATGAGAGTAAGGACAAGACAAGAACATATCGATGCCAACACAGAAGACAATGTCCAACATAACAGGCCAATTACACTGGATTAATCTTTGTGTTTAGATAGGAGATGCCTCGTTTGGGCCAATAAGCCTTCTGCAGCCCCTATGTCTATCCCTTATGTATCCCCCCATGTTTTTCACCTTCATTGTATTATCACCTGACCTAATGCGGGTATAAAATCAACTAGTATTGTAAGATCTGTTCACTTGAGAATGAACCATGGAGGTTCGAAACGTCGTGCAAATTATACAAATAAGTGTAATACACTCTATAGTAAATCACTTCTTTTCTTCACCTTAAAAGTACGAAAATGAGTTTTGGAGAACTCCTATTCCAATTAAGCCCTGATGCTAAGAAAATAGTTAGAGGGATAGAAGCCCTAAACCAGAAAATAATAAATACAGAATATGCGGTCATATTCAATGAAACATGTTTGAAAGAAAACCTGCTGCCAGTATACACCAAATATATATATATATATATATATATATATATATATATATATATATATATATATATATATATATATATATCACAATATATAAATCACACTGCGTCCGTGGAAGGGTGGCAGGCAGTTAGCATGGGACTATACTTGCGTATCCACCCTGGCAACGACATACATCACCCTCTCTGCCGGCACGGCAGGAGCCGCAGCGACACACAGAGAAAAACAAAAGTCAGTCAAGTACAGGCAATTAGATCAAAGGTACAATTTCGTTCCAATAGGGTCTGAGACCCTAGGCCCATGGGGTGAGAGTGCAAGAAGGTTTCTTAAGGATCTTGGTTCCAAGCTCATTGACACCACAAGAGACCCTAGAGCAGCAAGTTTTCTCTTTCAGCGCCTCAGTGTCGCGATCCAGAGGGGAAATGCCCGCTGCATCCTCGGTTCCTGCCCGGCGTCGGAGGAGTTCGAGGAAATCTACAGCCTCTAGGAAGCGAACTTTTTCTTGTGTCCTCTTAATGTTCATTTTTTGTATAAAATCAGATATGTAACTATATATATATATATATATATATATATATATATATATATATATATATATGTTGAACCTAGTAGCCAGAACGTCGTACTCGGCCTGCTATGCAAGGCCCGATTTGCCCAATAAGCCAAGTTTTTCTGAATTAATATATTTTCTCTAATTTTTTTCTTACGAAATGATAAAGCTACCCATTTTATTATGTATGAGGTAAATTTTTTTTTACTGGAGTTAAAATTAACGTAGATATATGACCGAACCTAATCAACCCTACCTAACCTAACCTATCTTTATAGGTTAGGTTAGGTAGCCGAAAAAGTTAGGTAGGTTAGGTTAGGTAGCCGAAAAAGTTAGGTTAGGTAGTCGAAAAACAATTAATTCATGAAATCTTGGCTAATTAGGCAAATATATATATATGTATATATATATATATATATATATATATATATATATATATATATATATATATATATATATATATATATATATATATATATATATATATATCGTAGACATGTTGGTGTCTACATGCCATGTCAGTATTTAGTGAACATGCAATGTTGGTATCTAGGGAACACGGCACGTTGGTATCTAGTGAACACACCATGTTGATATCTAGTAAATATGCCATGATGGTTTCTAGTGAACATGCCATATTAGTATCTAGTAAACACGTCATGTTGGTATCTAGTGAACACACACACACTATGTTGGAATCTAATGAACATACACACACTATGTTAGTATCTAGTGAACACACCATGTTAGTATCTAGTAAACATGCCATGTTGGTATCTAGTGAACTGGCCATGTTGGTATCTAGTGAACATGCCATGTTGGTATCTAGTGAATATGCCATGTTGGTATCTAGTGAACACGTTATGTTGTTATCTAGTGAACATTCTATGTTGTTATTTATTGAACACACCATGTTGGTATTTAGTGAACATGCCATGTTGGTGTCTACTGAACATGTCATGTAGGTGACTAGGAACATGCCATGTTGATATCTAGCGAACATACCATGTAGGTTTCTACTGAACTTGCCATTGTTGGTATCTAGTGAACATGCCACGTTGATATATAGTGAAAACACCATGTTGGTATCTAATGAAAACATACACCATGTTGGTATATGTGAACACGCCATGTTGGTACATAGTGAACACACACACACCATGTTGGTATCTATTGAACACACCATGTTGGTGTCTAGTGAACACGCCATGTTGGTATCTAGTGAACACACCATGTTGGTGTCTAGTGAACATGCCATGTTGTTATCTATTGAACACACCATGTTGGTAATCTAGTGAACACGCCATGTAGGTATATAGTGAACATGCTATGTAGGTATATAGTGAACATGCCATGTTGGTATCTGGGGAACATGCCATGTTGGTATCTGGGGAACATGCCATGTTGGTATCTGGGGAACATGCCATGTTGGTATCTGGGGAACATGCCATGTTGGTATCTGGGGAACATGCCATGTTGGTATCTGGGGAACATGCCATGTTGGTATCTGGGGAACATGCCATGTTGGTATCTGGGGAACATGCCATGTTGGTATCTGGGGAACATGCCATGTTGGTATCTAGTGAACTTGCCATGTTGGCATATAGTGAACGTGCCATGTTGGTCTCTAGTGAACATGCCATGTTGGTATCTAGTGAACTTGCCATGTTAGTATCTAGTGAACATGCCATGTTGGTATATAGTGAACATGCCATGTTGGTATGCAGTGAACATGCCATGTTGGTATCTAGTGAACATGCCATTTTGGTATCTAGTGAACTTGCCATGTTGGTATCTAGTGAACATGCCATGTTGTATATTGTGAACATACCATGTTTGTCTCTAGTTAACTCACCATTTTGGATTTTAGTGAACACGCTATGTAGGTATCTAGTGAACACGCTATGTTGTTGTCTGGTGAACATGCCATGTTGGTCTCTAGTGAACATGCCATGTTGTTGTATGGTAAACCTGGCATGTAGGTATCTAGTGAACACGCCATGTTGGTATGTAGTGAAAACGCAATGTTGGTAAGTAGTGAACACGCCATGTTGGTATGTAGTGAACACGCCATGTTGGTATCTAGTGAACACGCCATGTTGGTATCTAGTGAACACGCCAATATAAGTCTCACCATTGTAGTGGTAATATATAACCCTTCACGCTACACAAAGATCGTCTACAGCCCCGACTGTAAGAACTTGAATTCTTTTACTTACTTACACTTACATTTACACTTACACTTATGAATAAAAGTTATAAATCTAAATGGAGAGCGTGAAGTAAAGTGTAAACTAAATTCGAACATTTTGAGGAGAATGACTGTGGTAAAAGTGAGAGTCAGTAGAGAGGGGCAGTGTTCTCTCACCGGGAGAGTAGTGAGAGGGGCAGTGTTCTCTCACCGGGAGAGTAGTGAGAGGGGCAGTGTTCTCTCACAGGGAGAGAAGTGAGAGGGGCAGTGTTCCCTCACCAGGAGAGTAGTGAGAGGGGCAGTGTTCCCTCACCGGGAGAGTAGTGAGAGGGGCAGTGTTCTCTCACCGGGAGAGTAGTGAGAGGGGCAGTGTTCTCTCACCGGGAGAGTAGTGAGAGGGGCAGTGTTCTCTCACCGGGAGAGTAGTGAGAGGGGCAGTGTTCTCTCACCGGGAGAGTAGTGAGAGGGGCAGTGTTCTCTCACCGGGAGAGTAGTGAGAGGGGCAGTGTTCTCTCACCGGGAGAGTAGTGAGAGAGGCAGTGTTCTCTCACCGGGAGAGTAGTGAGAGAGGCAGTGTTCTCTCACCGGGAGAGTAGTGAGAGAGGCAGTGTTCTCTCACCGGGAGAGTAGTGAGAGAGGCAGTGTTCTCTCACCGGGAGAGTAGTGAGAGAGGCAGTGTTCTCTCACCGGGAGAGTAGTGAGAGAGGCAGTGTTCTCTCACCGGGAGAGTAGTGAGAGAGGCAGTGTTCCCTCACCTTGAGGAGCGCGGCCGTCATGATGGCCCCAGCGTTGATCATGGGGTTGTGAGGCTTGTCTGTTGGCAACACGGAAACTCATCACTATTCTTGCAACTAAAGGCATCAGTATTCTTTAAGGCATATGTATTTTAAAAGGCATATGTATTCTTAATGGCATAAGTATTCTTATGAAGGCATAAGTATTCTTATGAAGGCATAAGTATTCATATGAAGGCATAAGTATTCTTAATGGCATAAGTATATTCTTAAAGGCATAAGTATTCTTAAAGGCATATATATTCTTAAAGGCATAAATATTCTTAAAGTCATATGTATTCTTAAAGGCATAAGTATTCTTAAAGGCATATATATTCTTAAAGGCATAAGTTATCTTAAAGGTATAAGTATTCCTAATGGCATGAGTATTCATAAAGGCATATTTATTCTAAAAGGCACATGTATTCTTAAGCTAATCTCTACAATAAAATTATCCTATGTACATTGCCCTATCCAGGACTACTAACACACACATTCATCCATTATCATTCAGTCAGGCACTACACTCATCCAAAGAGAAAATCAGTAGGAACCATGAGGAGGATTCGAACCTATACTCTGGGTACTCTCAAGCCAGCCCGTCCTCCAAACAAAGATCCAAAAGTGATTCCATGCACTCGCCAAACCCCCTGTTTATGAATGAAAAGCGGTTTACACATGACTCACAACTGCTGACGTTCGAACATATCTGGAACAAATGCTTCACTGACGAATTTTGTTCGAATCACAACGCTATAAATGCTTCACCCACGTACTACAAATACAAATAATCGCCAACAGAACCTAAACACCTAACCTAACCTATCCTATGCCTATATATGCACAATGTGCTAATATATTATAATATTAATTTATACTTGAGAAATTTCCCGTTTTGAATGAACAGCATGTTAAAATTTATGAATGCGTCTGTGGGGTCGACCGCTGAATGTAATGGACTTGAGTCGAAGACGGGTTGCTCAAGCACACGCCTTAGACCACTGCAACAGTGTCATTGAGTGGTTTAAGTAACCACTGCACCACTGCAATAAGTTGATAGGTGAAGACTTTCCGCACCATACAGGTTGTTGTGAACTGTCCGGTAGTTAGTGGCAGATTAGTCGTAAACACATGTGACGGCAGGATAACACACGATAATATCTGGAGAATGAGAGCCTTGTGTAAGTTTCTATTTCACCAGGTTATGTCTGGGTGAGTGAATGTGGGAGGCTGAATGTGCTCGGGCAGGTCATACATCTATCTCTCTGTCTGTCTGCCTGTTTCTCTCACACACACACACACACACACACACACACACACACACACACACACACACACACACACACACACACACACACACACACACACACACACACACACAAAAAAAAAAAAAAAAAATTACCAGGGGCGCTGGTAACCTGGTGGATAGCCCGCAGGATTCGTAATTCTGTGGCGCGGGATCGATTCCCTCACCAGGCAGAAACAAATGGGCAAAGTTTCTTTCACCCTGAATGCCCCTGTTACCTAGCAGTAAATAGGTACCTGGGAGTTAGTCAGCTGTCACGGGCTGCTTCCTGGTGTGTGTGTGTGTGTGTGGTGTGGAAAAAAAAAGTAGTTTGTAAACAGTTGATTGACAGTTGAGAGGCGGGTCGTAAGAGCAAAGCTCAACCCCCCGCAAACACAACTAGGTGAATAAACACACACACACACACACACACACACACACACACACACACACACACACACACACACACACACACACACACACACACACACACACGGAGCGTAGCTCTCATCCTATAACTACACTTATGTAATTGCACACACAAATGGAGGTGAGGAAACACGGAGAGCTAAACTGTTGGAAGTGGCGACAAGAAACTTTTTAAGTCAGTATATCAGGGGACCAACATGAGTGAGAGGCAACGATGAAACCAGCGAGACTCGACCTAGTCTTCACCCTGAATGTAACCCGTCCTCGACTCAAGTCCATTCCATCCAGCAGTCGACCCCACAGACGCATTCATAAATTTTAACATTCTGTTCATTCAAAACAGGAATTTTCTCAAATATAAATTAATAGTATAATATATTAGCATATTTTGCATATATAGTCATAGGTTAAGTTAGGTTAGGTGTTTGGGTTCTGTTGGCGATTATTTGTATTTGTAGTACGTGGATGAAGCATTTACAGCGTTGTCGTTCGAACAAAATTCGTCAGTGAAGCATTTGTTCCGGAAGTGTTCGAACGAAATCAGTTGTGAGTCGTGTGTAAACAGTTTTTCATTCATAAACAGAGGGTTTGGCTGGTGCATGGAATCACTTTTGGGTCTTCGTTTGGAAGACGGGCTGCTGAATGACTCCGACATACGGGATATCGATTTCAAAGCCCACATGGGAATGAAAAAGGCAAAGCCTCAACCTAAATTGCTGCACAGCCACATTAGGAAAAAAACAACAGTGAAGGAACAGGTAATCAAACTGAGGACAGGGGTAGACAAATTCACTACAAACGACAAGGAAGTGTGCAAAGAACTCAGTAAGAAATTCCAGGTCTTCACAATAGAGCAAGGGTAAGAATCAGAGTTAAGAGAGGGAATATGGTATACCTTGTGGTATAAGCATAGCAACATCACTCACGTCCATGTGGTATGACCTTAGCCACATCAGTTACGTCCATTTGGTATAACCATAGCCACAGCAGTCATTTCCTTGTCGTATAACCATAGCCACATTAGCCAGGTCCTTGTGGTATAACCATAGCCACTTCAACAAGTTCTTGTGGGATAAACAAAGCCACATCAGTCAAGTCTTTTTGGTATAACCATACCCACAACAGTCAAGTCCTTGTGGTATAACCATAGCCACATCAGTCAAGTTCTTGTGGTATAACCATAGCCACAACAGTCAAGTCCTTGTGGTATAACCATAGCCACAACAGTCAAGTCCTTGTGGTATAACCATAGCCACATCAGTCAAGTCCTTGTGGTATAACCATAGCCACAACAGTCAAGTCCTTGTGGTATAACCATAGCCACAACAGTCAAGTCCTTGTGGTATAACCATAGCCACATCAGTCAAGTCCTTGTGGTATAACCATAGCCACAACAGTCAAGTCCTTGTGGTATAACCATAGCCACAACAGTCAAGTCCTTGTGGTATAACCATAGCCACAAGATAGAACAATAAAACACAGGTGTTAGTGGCATAAAGACATGTCCACTTGATACATGTTTACTGTATCAAGGGATACGTGTCCACTGTACCAAGGGATACGTGTCCACTGTATCAAGGGATACGTGTCCACTGTACCAAGGGATACGTGTCCACTGTATCAAGGGATACGTGTCCACTGTATCAAGGGATACGTGTCCACTATATATAAGGATACGTGTCCACTGTATCTAAAGATACGTGTCCACTGTATCAAGGGATACGTGTCCACTGTATCTAAGGATACGTGTCCACTGTATCAAGGGATACGTGTCCACTGTATCATGAGATACAAGTCCACTGTATCCAGAGTATACGTGTCCACTGTATCAAGGAATACGTGTCCACTGTATCAAGGGATACGTGTCCACTGTATCAAGGGATACGTGTCCACTGTATCAAGGGATACGTGTCCACTGTATCAAGGGATACGTGCCCACTGTATCAAAGGATACGTGTCCACTGTATCATGAGATACCGGTCCACTGTATCCAGAGTATAGGTGTCCACTGTATCAAGATATATGGGTCCACTGTATCAGGAGATACAAGTCCACTGTATCCAGAGTATACGTGTCCACTGTATCAAGGAATACGTGTCCACTGTATCAAGGGATACGTGTCCACTGTATCAAGGGATACGTGTCCACTGTATCAAGGGATACGTGTCCACTGTATCAAGGGATACGTGCCCACTGTATCAAAGGATACGTGTCCACTGTATCATGAGATACCGGTCCACTGTATCCAGAGTATAGGTGTCCACTGTATCAAGATATATGGGTCCACTGTATCAGGAGATATGTGCATCACCTGATGAATCTAATGACGCAAAAAGCTTCATTAGTGTTCAAATTTGTTACACTTAAATTTGTTAAACAAAAATACTTTGATAAACACTGCCTAATAAACTTCTGGAAAGTGAAGAAGTGGAATTTTTAGTATAAATGTCACATAATGCACACTAGTGATCACAGGAGTTTGCACCCAGCCGCCGTCGAGAGCAGATGTGTCTCATAGCCAGCAGCCATTGGACCTCCGTGTGGTTGTCGGCAGTTGGTCTGACAAGACTACACCCACTAGACAACAAGAAACAAGGAAGATCGATTACCACTAAGAAGAAATCTTCAAATTATTGTCCAGCCAGCCGGTAGGAGTCCTTGTGGTATAACCACGTGGCTTGCTTGCCTCGGCCTTGCCAACCATCTCTGAGCCAGCCACCAGCCCCCTCCTCCACTCACCGTCCTCCACCTCCATTCGCCTCAACCGTCACCGTCAACCGTTTCTACTCATCCTTACCCCTCACCTCAACCCAACCCAATTCATTCCACTCTCACCTCACGACTCATTCCTCCCTCACGTCACCACTCATTCCTCCCTCACCTCACCACTCATTCCTCCCTCACCTCACCACTCATTCCTCCCTCACCTCACCACTCATTCCTCCCTCACCTCACTACCATCGCCATCTCCACCACTGTTGTGTACTTACCTATATGTACTGACCCATGTCTTTCTGTTTCCCAACTCTACCTGAAGAGCACTTAAACTATAACTTGACACTCTAGCCCAAGCAAGAAAACTGGAGGAAAATGGGCTCAAATGCTTCAACTTATCGGTGACTCCAGACCGGATAAGCAGAGAGAGAGGTACGTTGAAGTCGAACAATGCTTCAAGTGCTTTGCGTATAGCCACTTACCTCCACAATGTAAGGCAAATGCCGAAAAATGCAGCAACTGTGCAAGACCCCACCGCTTCACGGCATGCGCTGAAACCGCTCTGACATGTGCCCTATGTTACGAACCCAAGTCCATCGTCAGAGCACGGAGCAGTGACGTCAACGCCATCTGTGAGTCCGCTCCCGAAACCCCCCACAACATGGACAACGCCATTTAGTGATGACAGGAATATACCGGCAAGAGGCGCTAGATTACTGTCCTAGTCGCCTCGTGAGGTAGCTGGTGCTGACCTCTAGTGAGGTGGTATTTAGAAAAGCAGCGCCATCTGTCATAAGCGAAGTTGGATGTGTCTAAGCCAGTAAGTGATGTTTCCTAGTGGTCCCATGTAGTGTCCCAGTGTACTGATGATGTGTCTATTCAAAGAGTCGACGTAGGGCTGCTGTGATACAAGAAAAGTCAGTCTACCCAGGGCAGCCAAGGTCTCTACACCAGTCTGCTTTGAGGAAGCTGTGAGCCGCCGCCGGAAGAGAACTGAAGTGTTCTACTGTCTGCCTGTGGAGTGGCAGTGACGAGATTCGCCGTACCCGGGGCTGGCTAGTAGAATAGACAACTGACTGTGGTGCCAAAGAGGAGAGTAACCAGCGAGTTGCACGAAGCTCCTGCCTAGGGCCCGCTACCCTACCACTACTGCAAGTGAAGTGGCCCAGCAGCGCGAGGCTGATTGGTACCTGCCAACAACAGGCTGGACTGCGGTTGTGGGCCTTCACGAAGAGGCACTTAGTGGAATTGTAGCTTGGCTTGCCCGTGGCCAGGGTAGACTCATTGTTGTTTCCCGGTACCCACTGAGAGTAGTACCATGGATGAGGAAACACGGTACAAGACTGCATCAATTGAGCTTCGCCGAGTGTTTAGTGTCTTCTGAGACGGACGTTGGTGTACATATAGTGTAGTAATACTTCCTTTTAAGAGTTAAATATATATATATGGTGATGGGAAAATAATTATATATGGATAAAGTGATGAACTGTAGTATTTAATGTACCTCCCCCTTTTGTTTTACTCTATTGAGCTCACCCCTTGAAAGCCACTACTAACTTGGGGCCGGATACCAGAACTTTCGTACCACCAGCAAAGAACCCGGTTGCGACCCATTGAGGCCGTAACACCCTATGTGGAGGGAACCACAAGGCAGTGGCTGCTGCTCACTGCCCCAAAAGGAAGGAGGAAATCCAGAAGATTCTGGACCAGACCAGGCAGCCAGCCACAAACACACATACCCAAACTACACCACCACCAAACATGGGAACATAAATCTTCCCCAACCTTCCTCACCAGGGACCTGACCCCAATGTGCATCCACCACCAACACCAAATGCTAACAAAGTGCAACCCCAAGTATTGGGGACTAGACTCCGCAAGCTGATCCGTCATCCGCCCAGCTAGAGCCAATAACCCCACGATCGCAGACAGGGTCGCCCAGAACGATCCCATCCATTTCATAAGAACAATAAACTGCCTTCTTCAGGCCAATAACCTCCCTCTGGTGTCCATTCTTGTGGACCAATTTTCTCCTGGAGCCCCAACTGAATAGCCAACCCTCCTCTCCCAACCTTCAATCCTGCCAGAGTCCTCCACCCCAGCACACAGACCGCAGAGATCCCAGCAATCCCGGTCTCAGATCCTAACCAGAAAGTACACTGGAACAACCTCCCGGGTCAATATCACCCAGACCACATATATCCCAAGACGACCCCCAACCGCTCGACCACAATCCACATCAACATCGGCCCGAGGGGAATACACCCAGAATCCCTGCGATGACTTCAACGACTCTAGCTTTTTCGGTTCAGCTCTCGGCAGTTCCCCAGGGGTCATGCATCAGCCCTGTGCTCTTTAACCTCTTCGTGAATGATTTGCCACGTCCCATCCATAATACCACCATCATCACCCAATTCGAAGACGACGTCTTCCATGTTTTCACATCAAAGCCTGCAGGACAAAGAACAAAACACGACATGATGATAAGAGAGGTCAAGGAGGAACTGGCCACCACTGCAAGATGGGATAGGGAATGGAAAATCGTAACCAACCCCAAACAAAATCGCACTTTAATCGATAGGCTGCTGGGCTAGCTCCCTGGGAGTTATCAACATCGGAGGCGCACTGACAAGAGTTTAGAACTCGACTACGATCCTGGGGTACGACATAGCAAGGCTCCTGATTTCTAATGAGCATATTAACAGAGAGATAGCAATCGCCAAGACACAAGTAGACAGGCTATACGGCTTCCACCAGGCCCCGTAACATGTAAAACTCCACCTCTACAAGATGCTAATTCGTCCAATCCTAGAATACCAGTACACCCCACTCACACTGGCCAAGAAATCGAACATGCTGAAACTGCAACTGGTCCAAAACAGGGCACTCAGATGTGTAGCAAATGTGTCACTCTTAGAGTCCGAATAGATGACCTTCATACCAGACTGAGGATTGATCCACTGAACGTTCGCCTGCACGGCTTCTTAGTCAAACGGCTACATAAAATTAAAAGCATGTACATGCCAAACCTTAAGGACCCCTTTGTTATCTTCAACACTACGAATTATGTGATGCTCGACCAGCCCCACAGGTCGAGGAGGATGTCTCTCCAACAAAGGGTGAGGTGATACATCCCTGACAGAGCCTACCCCAGGCCCAGGATCCTAAGCAACTTACCACAAGAGGACGAATGGGAACCACCAGTCCCACTGTACACCAAAGTCCTACGAACTGAAACCCACCGATTAAAGATTAAAAACTCCACTCACTCACCAATCACTGAATCATAGCATAGCTCTCCATGAAAAATGGTGGGTGGGTCGTCAGTTAACCACCATCGGCACTACAGCTAATCACCGACAGCTGATCATAAAAAAACCAAGCCCCCTACTAACCACCATGCATCACCCTCACATTCACCCATCATTTCGCATCACAAAAAAAAAAATGGTTGGGCCACTTACCTGTAACCCCCTCCTCTTCCTCACACCCAAATCCTCTTTCAAGTTTTCCTTCATTCTTCCCCCATCCTTCTCTTCCCAGCTTACCAGTTCTATGGTCCATGGAATATGGAATATGCACTAGTATAGTTAAGGGGAGCACATAATGTACACTACTATGGTTAAGGGGAGCACATAATGTGCACTACTATGGTTAAGGGGAGTACGTAATGTGCACTAATATGGTTAAGGGGAGCTCATAATGTGTACTAGTATGGTTAAAGGGAGCACATAATGTACACTAGTAGGGTTAAGGGGAGCACATAAGATGTTAGAGGAGCAGCAGCGTCAGTACTAAGGCAGTCCAGCAGCGCAAACACACACACGAAATACACATGATGAATATAAGAAATTTAAGCTGTAGAGGATATATTAGTTGAAGCAAAACAAGTTATGTGGGGTAAAGATCAAGATGAGAAGTGCAGAACAACTAATGGGCTAATAATTTTCACAACAGCGTTAGGTTAAAATTATATAGTGGGATGCGAGGGAAATTGCAGGCATCAGTAGGTAGGGTGTCACAGTCACAGACCAATGTTAATGCCCTTTATGTGAGACATGTGACATAATTCGTCATCGTCCTTTATAAGAAAGACCAAACAGAGGCTACGGAGAAATATGAGAACACGGAAGTCATCTGATGAAGGACATACTGTTGAGGTCAAGACATAGCTCGTTGTAGTAGCATCCAGATGGTTCCATACCAACGTAGAAGTGGACTCCGACGTCAGTCTGTTCCCCCAGTGCCATCGCGTAGGACAGTGCATAGCTGCGGAGAGAGACCCGCGTTACGCGCTGTCTCTTCCACCCACTTGCCTCAAACACACTGCTCCTCGTGGACTTGCTGTGTTCTCTGGGTCCTACTGAACCTTGCACGTTCACAACAACATAGTAGTTTCTACTGATGAATCTTTCGTTTTCTCCTGTCCAGTGTCTATGGATCAGCCTGGAAGTAGGTAGGACTGCACCTGACCCATCAGGGTGTGGTCGGACAAGCAAACAAAGCGCCATGCACGGTAACCCAACTACTTACTGTTGTAATCGAGGCAAAGCTCATTGAAGTAGCGACCAGATGGCTCCATCCCGATGAAGGTGTGCATGTGCTCCGTGCCGTACATTGTTGAAGCCAGGGCGTAGGTCAAGGGCTTGCTAGTACCAGAGAATTAAAGGAACATTGTAAAACAACACGTGGCAGCCCTTGAGCCCACAACAAAGAATAAAACCATAATACAGCAGGAAAATTAATTTCAAATCGGCAAAACAGGTTAATACAACACTGAGCAGACTCCTGTTAGCTTCCTTCCAACACCTGTGTTGAGGCTACTGGTACACAAGCTTCAGGTGTGTGGCTGTAGGTGGGCGAGGTGTGAGCATGACCTCGGGAGGATGGGGAAACAAGCCTCCTATCTCACGTCAGTTGGTTCAGTAACATTCACTGGAGCTCACATGCATTCATCCCTAACTACAATATTTGTAATTAGAACAGATATTAGGATGTTCTGATAATCAGAACATCCATAACTGGGGTAACGTATCTACATTGTATTCACCTCAAGAGTACACACATTTTCAATGCAATAGCAAACGAAATAGCCAAATTAAACATAGGCTTGACAGTGTAGGCCTATGTTAGATGCTTTATGAAATATTAGCAATTATAGACACCCCAAGGGATTTTCATGGGGTCAAGTGTGAAATGTGTAGTGTCACTCCCTCTAGAGTTTTTGTAATGGTTGTAATACCAACACTAAATGTTTCAGTGCCTCTTAATAATAACAAGTTTTCTGGCTGAAGGCGATAGGCGGGAAGCAGGGGAGATGAGCTTCCTGAACCTTGCAGGAATTAACCTCACTGAGGACCAAGTCACTCTCCTAAATCTGGGCATAAACTGTCATGTTATGTCCAGACCGAGTGAAATGGCCCGGAAAGTGGAGTTGGAAATTCTGTTGGACGACATATTCGACCTCGAGACACAAAAGAAGGTCACTACCAAAGATACCTTACAAGCAGAACTTATTGCAGAAGGAGGAAAGAATCGAGGCAACTACAGAAGCACCATACTGTCCCCCGAGCTTAGAGCGGCAGCTAAAAGCCTTCGTGAGAACAAGGAGATAGTTGTCAGGAGAGGTGACAAGTCGCCAATATATGTCATTCTTAAAAAAGACGAATATCTGGCGAAAATGAACATCATACTCTCTGACCAAACTAAGTTCCAAAGGGTAACGAAGGACACTACAGCCGAATTAAAAGCAAAGGTCAACAAACTGATCGAAACTGTGAACGCCAAGAAATCCGGACTCCACCTGCCAAAGATCATTGGGGAATATAAACCTGGATATGCGTATGGAAATGTCAAGACGCACAAGCCTGGAAACCCACTTCGGCCAATCATTAGCCAGATACCCACACCCACGTACAGACTGGCGAAGCGACTCAACGGCCTGCTGACTCCTTATGTTCCTTGCGCCTTCAGCCTGAAGTCTCCAAAGGAATTTGTGGACTTACTGCGGGGCGCACGGGCCACAGGGATAAGAGCCTCGTTGGACGTAGAATCGCTGTTTACCAACGTACCTGTGGACGAGACAATCGGAATGATAGCCGACAGAGTGTATCGTGATCCAGCCTGTACTCCTCTTGACATGCCAGAAAGTATTCTGAGGAAACTACTCCAAGCTTGTACTAAAGAGGCACCCTTCTTGAGCCCGGATGGGCACATGTATAAGCAAGTAGATGGGGTCGCTATGGGTTCTCCCCTAGGTGTCCTGTTTGCAAACTTCTACATGGGTACCATCGAGCAAAAAGTCTTAGTCGACATGAACTTGAAACCGGCCATATACTGCAGGTATGTTGACGACATTTTTACACAGGTACCTGATGTCAGACATCTGCAGGAGCTGAAGGAGGCATTTGAGCAGAGTTCCGTGCTGCGTTTCACTTACGAGACGGAAAAGGATGGGAAGCTGCCTTTTCTAGATGTAACAGTCATGGAAAAGGGCGGAGGTTTCCACACTGCAGTCTACACAAAGGAAACAAACATAGGAATGTGCCTAAATGCCAACAGCGACTGCCCTGACAGGTACAAGAGGAGTGTTGTTAACGCATACGTCGACCGTGCTCTCAGCCACAGCTCAGAATGGAAGCAAGTCGACGAAGAACTCTGTAGGGTAAGGCAGGTTCTAGTCAATAACGGCTTCTCCAATGGTTTCATCGAAGACATCATAAGAAGGAAAGTGAAAAGCCATGCAACCTCCGAAGAGACAACTAACACAACACCTATACCCCCTATTAGACTATTTTACAGGAACTTCTTTTCCACAGCTCATAAAACAGAGGAAAGGGTCCTGAAAGATATTGTTAATAGAAACGTTATCCCTACAGACAAAAATCAGAGGATACAACTGACGATTTACTATAAAACCAGAAAAACGGCCAGCCTACTCATGAGAAACTCTCCAGACACGAAACAGAACGCTTTAAAAGAGACTAACGTCGTCTATGCCTTCAAATGCCCACTTGGGGACTGTAAGCTCCAAAAAACCCAGTATATAGGCAAGACAACAACATCTCTTTCTAGGCGTTTAACGATGCATAAACAACAGGGCTCCATTAAGGAACATATAATCTCTTCCCATAACCAAACCATCGCCAGAGAAATCCTAGTAAACAACACAGAAATCATCGATAGATACAGCGATAGCAGGCGGCTTGACGTTTGCGAGGCACTACACATCAAGAAGTCAACACCAGCAATCAACAGCCAATTATTGCACAACTATATTCTACCCACCTCAAGACTCCGCTCCAATATAGAAGCATCAAGAAATATGGACCAATAGGCTTTCTACAAACACTTCTATTCAATATCCATTGTTTCGTGTTCTGTCTTGTGTTGATACTTTTAATACCCTATTAATATCCTCTAATGCCACATCATCCTTCCCACCTTACTCAAATGTAATGCCACATCACCCTTCCCACCTCACTCAAATGTAGATATAAAATCAGGGAAACGCAAGTTCTAATCAGTTGTGTATTTGTGAAGTCTTTGAAAATGTAATAAGTTTTACGAAACGCGCCCGTGTCGCGTCAGACTAGAAATAAAAATGAATTTTGGAGAAGTGATTTTTGATTTACCTCCAACAGTGAAGCATAATGTACGAAAGATTGAGAAAATTCGTGTTAGAATTATTAATCTTACTTTTTCGGTCATATTTAATAAAATATATATATATATATATATCAAATCGGGCCTTGCATAGTAGGCTGACAAGTGCGTTCTGGCTACTAGGTACGACATATATATATATATATATATATATATATATATATATATATATATATATATATATATATATATATATATATATATATATATATATAGATAATCTCAACCCTGCACTGGGAGACATTGCACAGGACCTCCTGGTGGAACTAACTAGATTCTACAATACATGACTAGTTGGCAACATTCCAGAGACCATACGGCCTTTCATATTTGGCGCTACCCTCTGTGCCATGAGGAAAAAGGATGGAGGAATCAGGGCAATAGCTGTGGGCAATTCACTCCGGCGTCTCGTCGCTAAGGCTGCTGCTAGAACAGTTAGCCAGGCAGCAGCAGACATTCTGAAGCCACAACAGCTTATGTATGGTATTCCCAAGGATGTGAGGCAGTGGCTCATGCAGCTAGAACTTACATTGACAACATTACAGAAGAGAAAGCCCTGATTAAACTGATTTCAAAAATTCCTTCAACCTGGTAAGAAGGGATGCAGTACTCAATGTGGTTCATCGCTATTTTCCTTCCCTCTACCCGTTTGTACACTCTTGTTACAGCAAGGACCTGACTCTGTTGTTCAGAGAACATGAAATCGAATCACAAGAACGTATCCAACAGGGTGACCCCCATGCTCCCTTTTTTCCTGCCTAGTCATCAAGGAATTTACTGATAACCTGTCCAGTGAGCTTGCTCAACATTTGGTTTTTGGACGATGGTACTCTAGCTGGCTCCCCAGACGGTACTACGTAGTCTTCCCGACTTGGTGCATTCTTTTGATAATTACTTACTAACTTAGCTCCCAAGACTCCCTCTTGGAAAGCAGAAGAATAATTCGGGAGTAAGGAGCAAGTCTAGGACTCACCTTGAACTCTTCCAAGTGTGAAATAACCTCCACCAACCAGCAGATAATTGAGCGAATAAAGGGTGTTTTGCCGGATATCCATTTAACCAACCATGAGGACAGCACACACCTAGGAACTCTTCTTGGTGGGAAGGCCATCAACGAGGTCCTAGATAAGAAGATCGCTGACATGAAGAGGATGGATGAGAGGATTGAAGACATTGCTGCTCATGATGCACTTTACCTCATCTCCAGATGCTTATCCATCCCCCAGGCTGACCTACTTTCTTAGCTGTTCGCCAGCTTTCAATAATATTAAATTAGAAGAGCATGACAGCTTGCTGAAATCAATGTGAGGAAAAGCCCTCAACCTTCCTCTCAGCGACTCACAGTGGAAACAAGCCTCCCTTTCTGTCAGATTTGGGAGCCGTGGCATTTGCACAGCTATTGGTGTACCAGCGCTCCTGTTCCCTTCAGTGGCATCTGACAACCTGGTGAAGGAAACCCTACCCGAATCCTACCCGATTATCTAGGTCAACAGGCAGGGGTGCATGATCCCAGCTTAACAGATTGCACCACCGAATGGGTCTCTCTTGCAGGACCATCACCCCAACCACCACCTTCTGAATCTCACAAGCAATCCAGCTGAGAT